CAGCCGTCTGGTTAGCAGGCAAGTGACTTAGCCACTATGCTACCAGAGATATACATGATATGAAAGTCTGGAAACAAAAATATTTTATCTTTTTATACAAAGTAATCATTAGATTCATAACTTTTTTAGGTTATTACTTTTAACTGGAAGTTGAAAGAAAATTCTTGTTTACATATAAAATTGTCTGTCTTTCAGGACTTTTAGGAAAATCATACATGTAGAGGTCTACATTTTCTTAACGTAAGATACAAACCCTGCATTTCTTTGTTACATCTTCGGTTCTGGTAAGCAAATATTTTGTTTTTTATATGGCTAGTAAATCTTGACCAAAGCTTGAGAATTTGTACCTATAATTGACCTGGTGATGTGTCAAACACAAAAACCAAACAAGTAAGGAAATAGGTTTTATTCAGCCTATTGCAATAGTCCGAGCACAATAGATCTAAAGATCAGAGTTACTTTGCTGCATAGTTTTCCTCATACTTTTGTAGGGATTGGACACTTATAGGTGAGGTGATGCAGTTAGAAGTGCTTTTACAATGAAGCCCAAAATAAAGCACTACAAAGAAGCAGTACAACTCAACCACAAAACTTCTAATATAAAATTGGAAATTTTGAGGGGAGGGGAGGGAACACTGCCAAAAAAAAGAAATATATTAAAAGAAATCCATTGACTCATGTCACTTTAGTTTTGTGTATTTCACTGTACATAAATTATATTTCAGTAAAATGTGTTTTGAAAAAATTAAAGAAAGTGGAAACTTCTGGGCTACTATTAGCTGCAAGATTTCTAAGAACATTTCTTTAGCATGGTTTTAATTTGCTGCAGACAAATGAAGTCCTCCTTTCTCACCAATTACTAAGTTGACCTCTTTCAAGTATTGCTTAGGGAACTCTGGTAGCATAGCACCTAAGGCACTTGAACCAGAGGGTTGGAGGTTCAAACCCACCAGCCACTCCTTGGAAGGAATGTTAAGCAAACTAATTCAGTAGTGGTATTTTCTCGGAAACCCAAGGGAGGGGTTGCTATGAGTTGGATCCAACTCGATGACACCTAACAAAAACAACAACAAGTATTTCTTACAGTGATGGGGAATAATTTCAATCCTTGGAATAATACCCATGGCCTAATGAACACGTGAAAATAATTATGTGGATCTGTATAACTACAGAGAAATTATAAGGAATAATTTATAAAAATCCTGTAGTTGTTGAGTCAATTTCAACTCATAAGTGATGCTACAGGACAGAATAGAATTGCCTGGTAGGGTTTCCAAGGCCGTAAATCGTTATGGAAGTGGACTCCCACTTCTTTCCCTGGCTGACCAGCTGGTAGGTTTCAACCTGGGATCCTTCAGTTAGCAGTCAAGTGCTCAGGCACCGCAACATCAGGGATCATTTTAAAGAATAACTTAGCCCTGCTGTTATCAAAAGAATTCATGTATTCAGCTTAAAAAGAGCCGTGATGGCACAGTGCTTAAGTGCTTGGCTGGGAACCAAAAGGTTTGCAGTTTGGAACCACTAGCTGCTCCACAGGAGAAACATGTGGCAAGCTGCTCCTGTACTGACTTCAGCCTTGGAACATCGTAAGGCAGTTACACTCTGTTCTGTAGGGTCGCTATGAGTCAGAATAGACTTGACCACGATTAATTCTGTTTATTCCGTTATAAACTCAAATAACAAAATAATTAATATCCTATTCTTGAACAAACATCATGACCCTTTACAACCCTTCAGTGTCAGATTACCTTTCGTTGACTAAACAAATACTGTGAGTTTATTTTCAAATCCATATTTGAACTCTTTTAAAGTATTTATCTTCTCAAATGAACATTATAACATTTTTTTGCCTTGAAAAACAACTTGATATGATTTATAACTAAAAGAAAAAAAAGAGATCCATTGTTAAGAGTATAGTTGTATGATTTTTAGTTAAGTTCACAGAAAATTTCAGATAAATTAAAACATACAGTATGTGTCCTGTATGTCTGGCTTTTTTCATGTGGCATAAGTCGGGGCCTACTCGACGGCTCACAACAACAACGTTTCTGAACGTGAGGTGCTGAAGAGCAAAGATGTCTCCTTGAGGACTAAGGTGCACCAGACACAAACCATGGTATTTTCAGTTGCCTCATAAGCATGTGAGAGCTGGCCAATGAATAAGGAAGACCAAACTCCTCGGAAGGAAGGTTGGGCAATCCTACTTCCGTAGTGATACTGCCTCGGAAACCCAAGGAGGGGTCGCTATGAGTCGGGCCGACTCGACGGCACATAACAACAACAACAACAAAGAAGAATTGATGCTTTTGAGTTGTGGTGGTGGCGAAGAATGCTGAAAGTGCCATGGACTGCTAAAAGAATGAAAAATCTCTCCAGGAGGAAGTGCAGCTGGAATGCTCCTTTTAAGTGAGAATGGCCAGACTTTGTCTCACATACTTTGGTCATGTTATCAGAATGGGCCATTCCCTGGAGAAGGATGTCATGCTTGGTAAGGTGGAGGGTCGACAAAAGAGGGGAAAGCCCACAACTAGATGGACTGACACTGTGGCTGCAGAGACGGGCTCGAGTATAGCAGGGATCTCAGAGCTGGGGCGGGACCAGGCAGTGTTTCATTCTGCTGTGCATAGGGTCACTATGAGTTGAAGACAACTCAATGCCATCTAACAACAACAACAACAAACAGTTAATGTGCAGGCCTACTGACTGAAATGCTGGAGGTTCTTTCTAGTCCACCCAAAGATGCCTCATGAAACAAACCTAACTATACACTTCTGGAAAATCAGCCAATAAAAGCCCTATGGAGCACAGTTGTACTCTGACACACACAGAGCTGCTACGAGTCAGAACTGGCCTAACAGGCAACTGGTTTTTAATTTTTAATTTTCAGTTTCTAAAACCTAATAATGCTGTTTTTTTCATTTGCACAATCAGTTTTATAAGTTAACTAAGTTTACAGACCCAGGAAATATAGTTTGAAATACTATAAAAATTTTTCATCAAACATACATGGTACAAAAATATTTCCTTTAATAAAGATTTTCAAGATGTCATATATAGAATGGCAAAACACTAAAATGTTATGTAAACAGCATACTAAATAAGTTTTTATTCATTTTTCAGATCATATATGTTTTCTTTAAAATCTGTACATATTCACGTGATGCTCTCAAAACTAGGTCTTGATTTAGAATTGACTCATCAGTAGATCAGTAGTTGTGGTGCTGATGAAGAATGCTGAAAGTACCATGGACTGCTATGCTAAAAGAACTAACCGATTTTTTCTTGAGGAATTGCACCCGAAATTCTCCTTGGAAGCGAGAATGGCTACACTTGGTCTCACCTATTTTGGTCATATTGTCAGGAGGGAACATTTCCTGGAGAAGGATGTCATGCTTGTTCTGGTGGAGGGTCGACAAAAGAGGGGGAGGCCTTCAATGAGATAGATTGACATGGTGGCTGCGATGATGGGCTCAAGCATACCAGGGATCACGGAGCTGGTGCGGGATCGGGTAGTGTTTCATTCTGCTGTGCATGGGTTCACTATGAATGAGAAATGACTCAATGGCATCTAACAATAACAACAACATCATAGACCTAGAGGACAAGCTGTACAGGAACCAGATTCAAATTCAGTAGCACCTAGAAAGAAAAATAAAGAATCACGTTTTCTAAAATGTGTCATAGTTAACAAACAATAAAATCAAAAAACAAAAGTCACTGCCATCGAGTCAATTTCAACTCATAGAGACCCCCACTGGGTTTCCAAACCTGTAAATCTTTACGGAAGCATACTACCTCATCTTTCTCCCAAGGAGTGGCTAGTGGGCTCAAACCACAAACCTTTTGGTTAACAGCCAAATGACTTCACCACTATACCACCAGAGTTACTTAATTAAGTTTTTGTTGTTTTTGTTGCTGTTAGGTGCCATCGAGTTGTCTCTGATGCATAGTGACCCTATGCACAGCAGAAAAAAACACCACCTAGTCCTGTGCTAGCTCCTGATCCTTGCTATACTTGAGCTCATTGCCACAACTACTGTGTCAATCCATCTCATTGAGGGCCTTCCCCTCTTTCATCAACCTTCCACCTTACCAAGCATGACATCCTTCTCCAGGGAATGGTCTCCTCTGGAAACATGACCAATATATGTGAGACGAAATCTGGTCATTCTTGCTTTCAAGGAGAATTTTTGCTGTACTTCTTCCAGCACAGATTTGTTAGTTCTTTTTAGCAGTCCATGGTACTTTCAGTGTTCTTCATCAGTGTTCGTCATCAGCACCACAACTAAAAAGCACCAACTCCTCTTCAGTCTTCCTTATTTATTGTTCAGATCTCACATGCATATGAGGTGATTGAAAATACCATGGCTTGAATCAGGAGCACCTTGGTCCTCAAGGAGACATCTTTTCTCTTCAGCATTTGAAAGAGGACCATTGCAGCTGATGTGCCCAGTGCAAGGAGCTCTGGTGGCATAGTCCTTAAGGCACATGACTGCTAACCAAAAGGCTGGGATTTTCAAACCTGCCAGCCACTCCGCGGAAGGATGGTTAGGTAATCTACTTTTGTAAAGATACTGCCTCAGAAACCCAAGGAAGGGTCGCTATGAGTTGGGATTGACTCAATGGCAGTGAGTTCTTTTTTTTGGGGGGGGGTATACATCATGTAATGCCCTGACTGTTGCTCTGTTGTCAAGGACTGTAGAACCAAGCAATGTGATGTCTTTGACAACTTCAATCTTTTCTCCATTTATAGTGATGGTGTTTATAGGTCCAGTCATGAATATTTTTGTTTTCTTTCTATTGAGATGTAATCCATACTGCAGATTGTATTCTGCAGTATGAGTAAGTGCCTCAAGTCATCCTTACTTTCAGCAAGCAAAGTTGTGCTGTCAGCATATCGTAGGTTGTTGATGATTCTTCCTCCAGTCTTGATGCCATGATCTTCTTCATACAGTTCAGCTTCTCAGATTATTTGCTCAGCATAGAGATTGAATAAGTATGGTGAAAGGTTACAACCCTGACACACTCTCTTCTTGATTTTAAACCATGCACTGTCCCCTTGTTCTGTTTGAATGGCAGCCTCCTGGTCTATGTATAGGTTCCTCATGAGTACAATTAAGCGTTCTGGAATTCCCATTCTTCTCAATCTTATCCACAGTTTGTTATGATCCACACAATCAAATGCTTTTGCATAGTCAATGAAACACAAGTAAACATC